TATATATAAACAAACGCTCAGGGCGAAGGTTCGCCTGAGCGCATATCGCTTAGTTTTTTTTTTTTTAATGGCGGGGGAAAGCCGGAAGTCTCAGGCTTCCGACAGAAGTGGCTAGGCACCGGTGGAGAGCGATCAGACGCCGGTTTGTATCGGAAGCCACCGTTGTACTCTGTTTACCACCACTTCGGACCTAGTGGCAGAGTACAACGGTGTAAAAGGATTTACAACGGTTAGGGACGGGAGGCAGATGTTCGCCGTGTGAATGCCCGTAAGTACACCGGTTGGAACCGGCACCCTAACCGTTGTAAATCCCCCGTCTGAACGCAGCTGTTGAGCCAGGAAATGGGGCTGGAACTAGAAGCTAATGGCAACCTTGCTTTCTGAGTTTGGTGTGCTGGGTAAAGACACCAGAATGCTTGATGGTGATTGTTGTTGATCGATGGACTGATTATTATATTTTGGTCTGTTGCAATTCCTTCTGGCTACCAGACTTTTTCTAGGGCTAAAAACTCTAAACGGCAACTTTTCAGTGTTTTGGACCGAGGAGCAGATAAACATGCCTTCTACTAAGAATTTGCCCATGAGGGATTGCCAGAAGATCAAAGGCTCGTGCCTCTGCGTAATCGCTCCGTCAGCTAATTTTCTGTTCTTCCTTTTCCAATTAATATTCAGGATAATTAGCTACGTTCAAGGCAGGCTTTATCTTCCATGCTATAAAGGGTAAACCAGTGCTAAGGGATATGCTACTTCCAGAGTCTAGAAGATTGTTCTACTGACTACTTTTTTTATGATGGCACTATGTGGGCCAATCTTCTTAATGTTTCATCTTTTCTCCCTGCTGTTCCCCCCCCCCATAGTTGAATTGCTCAACATTCATTCACCCTCTTCCTCTCTTCTTCTTCTTCTGTCCCCTCATCCTCGATCGTGCACCTCCTCCAGGGGGCTCTGCCATTCGACGATGATAACTTGCGGCAGCTGCTGGAGAAAGTGAAACGTGGTGTATTCCATATGCCACATTTCATCCCCCCCGATTGTCAGAATCTCTTACGAGGGATGATTGAAGTGGACGCCTCGAAACGACTGACGGTAGGGAGGCATTCGGCGTCGATTTCATGACTTCACAATTCTAAAGATACCCAGGGTTTCTGCGCCCAAATGATAACTGGATTCATCATCCTCAGCCTCTTTTTAAAAAATGTGATGTGAATGTTTCTGTTAATGAATGCAAGTTTCTATTTATTTATTTTATGACAGAAGTGGCTAGGCACCGGTGGAGAGCGATCAGATGCCGGTTTGTATCGGAAGCCACCGTTGTACTCTGTTTACCACCACTTCGGACCTAGTGGCAGAGTACAACGGTGTAAAAGGATTTACAACGGTTAGGGACGGGAGGCAGATGTTCGCCGTGTGAATGCCCGTAAGTACACCGGTTGGAACCGGCACCCTAACCGTTGTAAATCCCCCGTCTGAACGCAGCTGTTGAGCCAGGAAATGGGGCTGGAACTAGAAGCTAATGGCAACCTTGCTTTCTGAGTTTGGTGTGCTGGGTAAAGACACCAGAATGCTTGATGGTGATTGTTGTTGATCGATGGACTGATTATTATATTTTGGTCTGTTGCAATTCCTTCTGGCTACCAGACTTTTTCTAGGGCTAAAAACTCTAAACGGCAACTTTTCAGTGTTTTGGACCGAGGAGCAGATAAACATGCCTTCTACTAAGAATTTGCCCATGAGGGATTGCCAGAAGATCAAAGGCTCGTGCCTCTGCGTAATCGCTCCGTCAGCTAATTTTCTGTTCTTCCTTTTCCAATTAATATTCAGGATAATTAGCTACGTTCAAGGCAGGCTTTATCTTCCATGCTATAAAGGGTAAACCAGTGCTAAGGGATATGCTACTTCCAGAGTCTAGAAGATTGTTCTACTGACTACTTTTTTAATGATGGCACTATGTGGGCCAATCTTCTTAATGTTTCATCTTTTCTCCCTGCTGTTCCCCCCCCCATAGTTGAATTGCTCAACATTCATTCACCCTCTTCCTCTCTTCTTCTTCTTCTGTCCCCTCATCCTCGATCGTGCACCTCCTCCAGGGGGCTCTGCCATTCGACGATGATAACTTGCGGCAGCTGCTGGAGAAAGTGAAACGTGGTGTATTCCATATGCCACATTTCATCCCCCCCGATTGTCAGAATCTCTTACGAGGGATGATTGAAGTGGACGCCTCGAAACGACTGACGGTAGGGAGGCATTCGGCGTTGATTTAATGACTTCACAATTCTAAAGACACCCAGGGTTTCTGCACCTAAATGATACCTGGATTCATCATCCTCAGCCTCTTTTTTAAAAATGTGATGTGAATGTTTCTGTTAACGAATGCAAGTTTCTATTTATTTATTTTATTTATTTATTCGTAGTATTTTTATCCCGCCCTCCCCGCGAGCAGGCTCAGGGCGGTTTACAATGCTTGGCATCAAGTACATATAAAACAGTTAAAACCAGGGGTTATTTCCTGCAGGAGCACACAGGAGCAGAGCTCCGGCAGTAAGGAACCCAGGGGGTGGGCACACGCAACAAGCACCACCCCCTGCTCCCAGCAGCCCTCAGTCAGGTCACAAGGAGCAAGAAGCAGTCAGGTGTTGCAGAGCCCCCCCCCCAGCCCGCATTCAGGTATAAGCTCTCCCTTTTCTCTGAGGGCAGATCTGTGCATTCCCCCCCCCCATAGCTAGCAGTCCAAAACAGTCCAGTGGCACCTTTAAGACCAAGTTTTATTCAGGTACAAGCTCTCCCTCCTCTGCGAGGACAGATCCCCCCCCCCAATAGCTATCAATCCAAAACAGTCCAGTGGAGCCTGAGCGGTGGGTGTTGCCTTCTGACACACTTCCGGTGATGTCAGGGGGCGTGGCATATGCATGCTATCATGAGATTGTTACCATTAATAGAAATGACATATAACTTCCTGGCCTGCATTTGATCTGCCCTCACATCTTCCCATGGCCCTCCATTCCACACTTCTGCCTCTTTTAGATTATATGTTAAAACTCCTGGTTCTCTGGATGTGCCATACTCTGACTCTAGGTTCCATGGTTTACCTTTCCATGTTCAGAATATCAGATATTTGGAAACGAACTTTGTATGTCCTTGCAGCAAGTTATTTTGTATTATATGTTTACCTAGAGTTACCTTTCTATGCTCTCAAGGAGGGATGTTTTCCCCTCAAGATGCATTTTTCTACTTTTTTACTGAAAAATTATGCCAAAGGTTGCTTACCATCTTGTATCACCTTTTGTGTGTTCCATGTTATTATTCTTGGGTGTGAATTCAGCAGTATAGGTAGTTTTGAAAAGTAGAATGCTTATTTAATTGGTAACACAGAATTTTGTACCTATTTTTACTATCAGACAATTTATATTTTAGACACCAGGAATGATCCTGCATACAGTTATTGAGCTCAAAGTTTCTTTCTGCATGGGAGTATACATGGAGAAATGTAAAGCTAAAACCCCTTCCAGATCTTAATTTTGATAAAATATTGATAAATCACTTCTCAGATTAGCAGTTCTCCAGCACTTCTCAGCTGAAGACAGCACACTACTGAACCCTAATAGATGCCAAGCAAATGCAAGGTTGCATTTTTTGTAGAAAAAGCCCAGCAGGGACTCATTAGCATCATAGGCCACACCCAACAGTGGAAACTCATTAGCATATTAGGCCACACCCCAGACATCACAGGTAATTAGCATATTAGGCCACACCCCATGCCTTCCCTTGGCTTGCCTGGGCGCCCTGCGGCTGCGGGGAGCCCGGGCAAGCCGGCCCGTGGACAGGCTGGGGAAGGCACGGGGAGCCATTTAAATGCCTCCCCGATCGTTTCAGACCCCCCCCCCGGCCCACCTGCCTCGGAGTGGCCAGGGGGGGTCGCTCTCCAGGCCTTCCCTCTGTAGCCACGCATGCAGAGGTTTTGGCTGTAGTGGGCGTGGCCAACTCTGAAGGCAGCCGGAACTCTGTTCCCGAAAATAGCCCTGGTTGTAACACTCCATTTGTCTAACTGGGTTATTACAAATGTTTTCTGATCATGCTTTTATCCTCACATCTACTGTGGCTCCCTATGGCATGTACTGACAAAGCAAAGGTAGATTAATATTGGTGGTGTCCATTTGTTTGATGTAATCTACAACCCATAGAAGCTGGTCTTAAAAATCCTGGTGATTTTACCAGTTGAGGATTGTATTTAACCTTTTTTTGTTAGACAATTAGGTTTGGGGTTTTTTTTCTCTTCCTCTGGCCTGCTGGTGCAGTTTTGTCATCTAATTGTCTTGGCATCTTCCTTGCATGGACATCTGGAAAATTGTGGCCCTTGTTCCCTGACCTCCCAGAGTTAGCAATGGCACTGTGTCTGGGTCTATGTAGCATGGGGACTTTTTGTGTGTTTGTTTTTAAATCAAAGCATTTGGCATATGTTCCAGAATGGTTAGTAGGATATAGAGAAATGCGGTTTTTAAAGCATTCCCCAACATTGGCATTAAAGTTGCTAAGCTATAGTGAGAAGAGAAAGAAAACTCCTCTGGGAAAGCCTATTAAATGTCTTTGCCACTTAAACGGCTTTAAATACCATGTATAACTGAAGGCAGAAGTAGAGGGACTGAAATCCACTGTGGATCACCGTACCTTGCACTGTATAGCAAAAGGCCTACAGTCTTCTTCTTATCAAAACCAGGTGCCCTCCTGTAACCTTACTTTAAAGTAGATGAAAAACAACAAAACATTAATTAATCACTGTATTGTTTTAAAGGAGTAGTGAGTGTGTTGGCATCAGCAAGCGGGCATTTGTAATATCATTATAAATAGCAGTAAATCCCGTTGTGAAAGCAATACAACGAGCTCTAGAAAGATGTGATGTGTAACGAATGCATAGGCTGGAAGCAGGTAAAGTACATATTAGCAGTGTGTAATAGAAAGGTACAAATGTGGAAGTAAAGTCTCACATACCTTATGTTACACAATAGCCGGTGTCCAAGGTCACACAATGTGGGCCAGAAAATGCAGCACACGGGTCCGTGGAGTAGTGTCAACAACTGGGCACTCTGCGAAGTCATTTTATGTTGGATGTCCGTGTCATTCAATGTGGTCGTGGTCGCACTGTCCACCCTGTTATAGCAGAGGTCAAAGAGGGGGAAAAGAGAGCAATACTTTTTAGTGCATCCTGTAGTGATAACAATATTTAAGCAATTACAGAGTGCATGGATGTGTGTACATCAAAAAAAATTAGTTTTGCTGTCATTGGTGAAACATGAAACTAAACGTGACCCACAAAAGTTATGATAAGGGTCAGGACTTAAGCCAAACTGGCAAGTTTGGGGTTTTTTTTAAATCCACATGCTCTGACTTAATATAAGGCAGGTTGCCCGCGGCTCTCCCACCCCCGATCAAGGCCCCGCCGCCCCAGCCAGGCTGCCCGCAGCTCTCTCACCCCCAATCAAGGCCCCACCACCCCAGCCAGGCCAGCGGCAGCCAGAAGACCCTATTTGCCACTGGCCCCCTGCCAGGCAACTGGGAACGAATTGGGGGGGATGTCTCCTCTAGCAATGTGCCCAAAAGCCACAAGGAAGGCTGCCTACGTATCTTGGGGAATCATCAGGGCTCTGGGAGGGGCCTGGACAGGCAGCGGCATGGAGTGGCCATAGGCACCGGCTTCAGTGCAGGCCAAGGCAAGCCAGGAGCAGCGGCAGTGGGATATGGCAGGGCCAGAGTCAGTGGGAAGCGAAATGCTGGAGTCTCCGTGTTCTCTCCTGAGGTGAATTTCTCTTCTGAGGTGAATTTTGGTGCATGCTGCTTCTGGGGGCAGGACTCAGGCAATGCAGCTAGTGCCTAGGGACACCTTCTGAGTGACAGATCAGGGAGCCAACTAATTTGGGAGCATGTGGAATGTTCTGGAAAGTGCCACTACCAAAACACAATTATATATAAGGAGAGATATTCCAGTGCAATTAGACTGGAATAAGAATAGAGGCTGATTTTATAAAGTGATTTCATACTAAGAATGCTTTTAGTATGAGATAATAAGACAACACTCTTTTAAGGGCAATTCTTGACCAATTCCTCTTCAGAGCTATGCAGTGGAGTTTTAGGCCTAAGCAGAAAGAACACTAGAAAATACAGTACTTCTTGTTTATTCCTATTTATAATTTATATGAAGGGTTAAAATGCCTCCAGGTGCATTGGCTGGACTCATGAACATGCAGGGTCTTATGGTTTGGAAACTGTCTCCTGAGGTATAGTGACACATCTCAATGCGAGTCAGGCAAGGAAAGGAAAGAAGCGGGCATGGAAGAGACTTGGACATAGCTTATACCATAACATCTACACTTTGTCCAAAGTCATTAGTGGCTATGTTGCTTCACACAAAGTGATGCATATTAGCAAAGCTTGATTGCAGAAAATAGTATTATATAAGACAATGCAGTGGGAGCAGGATAATACATCTAGGCCCCTGCCACACGGGGAAGAAAAGAATGGCCAAAGTGCAGCTTTTTAGAGCCGCACCAAAAGAGACACGCGGCGGTGGGATCTGACAGATCCCCTGAGCCGCCGTGCAGTTGCTCCCCGGCATGATCAGATGCCGGGGGGGCATGGAAGGGAGCGCGAGGCAGCTGGCTGCGCATGTGTGCACATGCGCAGTTTGGCCGGGAGCCTCGATTGATCCTGAAGATGGGCGCACTAGAAATATCATAGCCACGCTTGCTGCGCCGTTTCAGGTAGGTTCTACCTTTTTCTAGTTTTTTTTCCTATGTGCATTTTCGGCCTAAAGGGCCGGATCGGGGACGGGTGCGTGTCGCTTCCCAGATGTTGTGGTGTGATCGCGCCCATTTGCTGCGCCCCCGATCTGTCCCTCTTCCGGGCCTAAACCTGCCGTGTGACCGGGGCCAATATAGACAGTGATGTAGTCCACAGTCACATTTTTTTATATAAAAGCACCTTCCAGAACCATTCCTTTTTAATATAGCCCTATTGTCTTTATAGAAGTGCCCTCTTCATGACTCTGTTTTACATAGTTAGAGGAAAGACAGAAGTGTGGGAGCTTTCTTGACCTCCTCAAGCAGGCCATTCCCCAAGGTAGGGGACACTGCAGAGTATGCATGTATATAGGCAATAGTTGATCTTGCCATGTATAGGGTAGCACCTCCAGAAAACTCTACTCAGACAAAGGAAGCTGTCATGGTGGAGCCTAGGAGGAGAGGTGGTTTTTCAGATATGAGGGTCCAAGGCCATGAAGAGCCTTGCATGTGATACTCACAGTGACTTGAATTGAACCTGGGAAGTGATGGACAGCCAATGGATTGACTGCAGAATGGGTGTGACATACATACTCTGCAGAGCTTCCAGTAGTGACCAAGCTGTGGCATTCGGTACCAACTGGAGTTTCCAAGTTGACTTCAAGGTCAGACCTACGTAGAGTGTTTTATAATAGGCTAGTCTTGGTGTTACTGTGGCATGGAGTGAGGTGATGAACAGCAGAACTAGAGGCCAGTCAACAAGATGCAAGTATGGTGGGGAAGTGAAAATTTATTGCTGGAATACCAAAAAAGCACCGTATGTATTTCTCCATGGAGATTGTACTGTTCCCTTTAATGTAGAAGAATGAAGAGACTGTGACCTGCATAATGTTGACACCACATGAAAACATTTGCCACTTGCCTTCTGCATGCAGCTGTTGCCACTTCTACAGTTCTGAACCACATTCAAGTACTCCACATTCAAGTACTAGAGGTGCAGGCCTTGGCAATTCCAGCACCTAGGTTTAACTGTTTTTCAATCAGTTTTAGTGGATTTGTCCCAATCCCTGAACCACATGCATGTTTTGGCATGTCCTTCCCTGCCCCAATATTCAGTGGACAGAGAGAGGTAAGGAGGAACAAGAAATGCATTATACATGCTGCAAGTGCAAGCTTATAAGAATGCTTGAGGAGAAGGTGGGAGAACTTGAGGCACAAATCTTTACACTGAGGAACATCAGGGAGGGAGAAAGGTTTTTAGACATGACAGAAGAGGGAGTCCTGAGAGAATGGCAAGAGCTAGCAAATCCTAAGCAAGAGGAAGTAACAAGGAACAGGTGGGCGAGTAGAAGAATGTGACTTTGAGGAGTAAGATAATCAGGAAACACTCACAGCCAGTGGAGTTGCAAAATCGCTACCAGGCACTTCTGATGGTGGAAGATCAGAATAGCACGCTTCGAGATCGAAAGGATGTAACTGACACACAAGCACATAGGCAGAGAAGGAACCAAGCTATCCCGTGGAGGAAGAGACGAGTAGTGGTGGTTGGTGACTCCCTACTGAGAGGGATAGAAGTTGTTGTGTGCAGACCGGACAAGGAATCTCGAGAGGTTTGTTGTCTTCCTGGAGCATGTATCCAAGATGTGACAGAGAGAATTCCAAGACTGGTCAAAACCTCTGACCGCTACCCGCTCTTGCTGATCCATGTGGGAACAAACGATACAGCCCAAAGAAACCTTGAATGGATCTCCAAAGACTATGAGGTTCTGGGCAAGAAGGTGAAAGATCTGGGGGCACAGGTGGTGTTCTCCATTTTACCTGTTGAG